TCAGGCTTTTCATGCATAAAATGACCCCGGCAAGATGTTATTCACTATCTGGAGTCCACTGTTCTTTTTATGGCGATATACTTATATGCAATTGAACAGCGATCAAAATCATAATTGCCTGTTCACCTTTGCCTCCGGGCAAAGTTTCCTGGGCTCCAACATTGTCTCCGACCTCACGTGGTCGCAAAAACAGCCTAACCGGACTCACTTAACCAGAAGCAGCTGGCCTCAGTGGCTACCTGGAAGTCTGCTTAGCTTTACCTATCACTCAGTGATTACATGGCTATTAGTGCACCTCCCACCACCAAACCACACAGAGGGCTTAATTCAAAAGCTGTCAGTGATTAATTACCAGTTGCCTCTACTGAGGTGAGGATATCTGAGGGGATTGGCATGACTGTAACTGTATCAGGCCAGAGGGATTACACACTTGGCGAGCCAGAAAGGGAGACTGGAAACCAGCGTGGCCACAAAGAGTTGAAAAGGAGCGATTGGGTGGAGAAAGTTGGGACTGATTTGAAATGTGTGTATTTTCGCTCTTGGTAAAGAAATCAGATCAAGTCAGGAGATGACAAGGATGAAAGGAAAAAAAGCTGCATGTGCTTATGATTGTATTTCGCAATCTAAAAGACAGAACATCCAGCTGATGTGGCCCCCTGCTGCCCTTCTGCACTTGACAAGCACTACTGGGTATTTTGGGAGGGGAGAACAAAGTCCCACACATTACAAGTAATATGTTCCTGTTTTCTCAAGAGTGCTTCAGCCAGTGTTTTGCTGCCAGGCTTTTTGAAGTGTTAACATCAAGAAATGCTGCAGAGTGGGGAAAGGGGGCTGCGCGGGGAATTAGGCGTATGGGTGAGTAAACAGGAGAAAGCGCAAACCACCAGTGCTTGCTGACGGCACATTTTATTATGGTCCCATTAAACAACAGGCCCTGTTTGGAATGCAGATCCCAGGGAAGGAGAAGGTACACGCACATTTTAAAAAAACAAGAAGAAGGGAAACAGCTCGCGAATGCTGAAACAATTATTATAAAGGGACTCGCTTCAGTGTAGAGCACGGTGTGGGTGCGACTGGAGACATTCTCACATCATGATGGTTTCACAGGTTTGATTTACTCCTTAATCGTAACGGAGGGTGTAAAATATGTTTTCAGACAATGTGAAGCTCAGGATAACTGACTGTTGTTCAAAGTGAGTAATTTGGCTCTGCAGTTTCTTTGCTGGGCTCCCCACCACACACTAAACTCACACTAAAATTCAATCCATATGTTTTAATTCACGCTGTGTACCTTCTTGTCAAAACCTGGCACTCACACACACACTTACTCTGTCTGCTGGCTATTTTGTCAGACATACGTGGGCTATTTGGAGATCTGGTAAGCTTACTCCAAATTTTTTTTTTTTCGCTATTCTTCATCCCTGATCAACCTGAACCTTTTTCCCTGTAACATTTTTCCCCTCTCGTTTTTCTGTCTCTAATGTAATTTTCTGTCTCCTTAATGGCGTGAAAAGGCTCGCCCTGCTCCTCACTGGGTAAGTGAAAAAAACCATAGGAGAGCGTGGCAGTCTCCATTTCTGTGTCTTACTGAGCTATTAATCTATCCTGCAGTCCATGCTAGGTTAGCTTTCTGTGGGTTTAGTTAGTTTCTATCCGGATCATTTAACAGCATATGCTAAACCCACCTGTTTGTTCCTTTACACATGGATGCCGACCTCATCTGACGGCTTGATTGAGGTGTCTTAGCTTGCTGGCTTTGTCATATAAGACAAAATTGTGATTTTTCACAGGGAGCAAATGTGTCTGCACGCAATGTAGTGGGAGGTGGATGGATTATTAATATTAAATTTCATGCCATTCCATCCAAGAAGTATTAACACGCTGGTTGAGGAAGGGGAAAAGTCTAGCAATCAGCAGGAGTCATCCTCTGTGAGCCGTAAATGTCAGAGTGAAACGTCCTTCTGGTTGAGATATTTCAGCCTGCACCAAAGAGATGGACCGACTGACAGGAACTGCCACCCCAGGAGACACATCTCTAGCTCAACTACAGACTGTGCCAGTTTGCAGGGAAAAGTTAGCCCGTGTCAGAATGGTGTTTTTCCCTCAGAAAGTAATAACCGAGTAATAACACAAAGCGATACCCCCCTCACTGTTAAGATGACAAACAGCATCGGCAAACCCATCACTTTTTTTCCCGCCAGGAGTGACATCAGCATGAATAAAACACAGTAGAAGTTCACAGCCGACTTTCTCAGATAAAGACGGCGAAAAACTTCCCATGATTCAGGAACAACCTATAAAATATCCCCAAGCTATGGACCATTGCTCTGTCTGTGTAACCACTCCATCTTCTTTGACAGCAATAAAGTGAAGACTGTGAAAAGCACATTACGGTCCTCCCCTCAAAGAGAGAGAGGGAGAAAAAAAAGACCTCATCTGAGCCACAGGCTGTCTCCTACACAGAGGAGAGGCTAGATATTGAGTGAGCCCATTCAGAATTCATAGAGTATAAAGTTATTTGCCTGGAAAGAGCACGCTCCAAAGCACTAACAAAGTATTACTGAAAGTTGCGTGCGTAATACGCTTACACTGCGTGAGCGTTTGGATTTTAAAACTACGCTGCAGATTCTTCAAAGTACACTGATGATATATGTGTTTTGTATGAAATCATAGTTCAAAAAAATAAATGGGGTTTGGGGAGGGGGGGAATAAGAGACCACAACTAGCTGCCAGCTTCCAGGATCAAGCTCGGAGCCGTCTTGGTTTTTAGCGTCGTCTCGCTTCATTTGATGTGAAATGTTTGCATTGTTTTATTCTCTGCCCCTTTACAGAACTGTGGAGGGAGAAAATAAATAGCAAACATATGACAGGGATTGAGAACAGAGAGCCGCCTGATTGCGAGTGTCTCATTATGGTTAATACTCGCAGTACTTCTGGCTCATTAATTCAGGCATGCCCACTCTGCAGATGAGACATTTGCAGTTGATAGAGCACTTGTGAAAACTGAAGATTAAGGATCTTTCGTTTGGGATTATCACTCGCACTAGTCTCGTTTCTTCTTGTGCCCGTGTCTGATTATGGTATATAAACATATTTTTTTATTGCGTTGCTGTTCATATTTGGCAGGGTGAAGGAAAAAGAAAAAAACAGGGGAGGTCAGGGGTTGAGGGTCAACAACAAAGCACTTTCTTTGGTTGGGATTCAACACCTTAATTTCAGACCTGCAGCGCAGATGTTTGCCAATACCCGAGAATTTTCCATGAAACCTTCCAAGCACCACTATGCACTGTGACTTTTTCCAGAAAGGTCACCTACAGTATGTTCACACTTACTGTGTAACATTCCCAGCTGGAGTTGACTGAGGCTGATCCCCTCTTCATCAAACTTTAAAAAGTTGTGAAAACATGTCAGCGTCCCGCAGCATGCCGTCTACCTAGTGGTTCAGCAGTGTGCCAGGAAGGAACGCAAAGGTTCACGTGTGGTTCACTGAGAGCATGGAAATGTTACTAGAGTGCTTTGCAGTAACATGCTATTAGACAGGCCATACAGCGTACTTCATTCTGACATCAAGGAGCAATTCATCCCATCTGTCGGATAACCATTAAGGAGCCGGGATGCTTGCTGGTGACCTTTTGAACGCATTACTCGAGGTGCTCATATTGATATTTGGCACATGTATGAAAAAGCATGTAAAGGTAATTTTAAAAAAGCCTTAAGAAATCCGCAGGATGTTACTTACTTGTAAAGAACATAACTCCACAATGTCAGCACTTTCAGGAGCCAAGAAAACACAGCCCTGTTTTCGGGTTTATGACGAAGCAGTTTTCAGATGATGGATGGACTTTAACTGGGTCATTTAGCCTAAAATGCTAAAATGCATAACTTTTGGGCAAAGACTGAATCCTTCACTTTATCTGAGAATCAGTTGAAATAGACACATTTTATTTATCACTGACAGTATATAGCCCTTATCTGACACCCTGTTATCTCTGTATATGTCTGGACACGGAGATGTGACATTATTGTAGCTGTTGAAAAAACAGAACTGGTGCCTGAGTCATTAACTGAATGTGGGCTTAACAATCAGACTTTTAGCTTTAATTCAAGGGGATGAACAAAAACGTTGCATTAACTGTTACAAAATTGCAGCAATTTTTACGCACCGTCCCTCGTTTTCAGGGACTCGTGAGCTATTTTAAGGGCAGGTGTGAGAGATCTTTTGTCATTTTCAACCCCTCAAAGTCCCCGATGCACCCAGAGTTTTCCATCTGGATTTCACCTTATCGGCTAATGTTGTATTTTTTATCTGTTTTCTGTCGGTGCTATTTTATAATTTCTATCTTTTCTCCTTTTATCTTTTTTTTTTTTACTGCAGTGAAACTGGAGCTGTTTTTATTTTTTATTAATTTCTTTTTTTTCCCCTGAAGGCTAACCTACACTGATGCACAATAGTGGCTTGGCAAACATTTAGAAGTAAACCAAAAACCCACAAGTTCAAATCCAGAACATTCCCCTCGACCCCCCCACTTACGATGCACTGGCAACCCAACCTCGGCTCAGTCCTAAAATGACCAGAATGCTGAGCTACACTGGAGGAATAAATGTTTCCATCTACTGGTTAGAAATGTGAATTTCAGCCTCTCCCACTTCTCCTCCATGTGAACAAGGGAGCAGGCAACATCACAAGTCGGACAATCTCTCAGCACCTCTATGTATAGACGGCTGTTAAATGCCTTTCTTTCTGTTAGGTGCATTGAGCGCTCAGCTGTCCGCATCCTTCACAGGAGACCTCCCCTGAACTATCAGCACTGTCACATTTCATCAGATTCAATGAAATCAACTACAAACATGCAAACAAACAAAAAACCTGTCCCTGAAAAGCTTCCATTCATTCTCACACCAGCCTGTGCTCGGAGTCAAACGCGCTTTAAAAGCCAGTACCTCACACTCCCACATGCAACCCCGCGCCCGCACCGCACTGGAAAAGTAGTTTCCTTTACCTGGAGGGCAGTTGCATTCAGGTGATGTTTGTCTGGCTGTCCGAATCTTGACGAAATTCTCATAGGAGCGCTGAAAGGTGAAAGAAAAGCATCATTTTTCATTCATTCGCCCTTTGAGTGAACCACAGTCCATTTACGCGCAAGTGAAGGGCTCAACAACAAAGTGCCGGAGAGCCGAGCGCATAAGCCAATCTTACCTGAGAGAGCAGCTCGTCCACTCTTTCCTCTATCAGTGAATTGAAATCCTCCACGGAGTAGCCGGGGGCACGGGTGAAGGTGTGCTCGCCTTTGGCACTCTCCAAATCCACAACTCGGTTCTTGATGTCAGCTCCACTAATGCTCAGGAAAATGCAGAAGGCGACGGACGCCACGGAGCAAAACGAGGAGAAGACGTTCAGCGCAGTCGTGCGGCAGTAGTGTCGCTTCTGCCGGGGCGACAGTTCTTTCTCCATTTTTTCCATGCACTTAGATGCTCCTCTCGCCACTGCGTTCTCCATTTAACTAACAACTCCACGCGCTGCTGAGAGCAAACCGCATCTGGCGCGGAGTCACCAATTTATGGCACTCTGCTCTGTGTGAGTGAGTGAGCGAGCGTGCGTGTGTGCGCCTGCAACGCTGCGTTCACGTACGGTGACTTTGTGGTGACAGCGACAGATGGATGAGTGGAGCGCCGCTCAAGCTCCAGCCGAGTGAAGTCAACCTGCGTGACGGCGTGCCGCTGCTGCTCCTGCAAACTTGTTGCACGGAGCTTTGCAAAGTGGTCTGCAGAGGAAACCGCTCTTATGCACTCAACAGTAGAGAGGGAGAGCGTGGAAGCGGGAGGCAGTGCGCACGCAGAGGACACAGCATTAAGACTGAAGCCTTTCCGTGGCGCAGGCATGCTCCCCCCCCTCACGAAGGCAACAACACGCCTCCAACGTGTCCCACTGATTAACATAATTTATTGGCTCACTCCTTTTGGGCTATTTCAGCCCAGGGGGCTACAGTTGCCATTAGCTTCTTGATAAGAAGTGATGATCAGTAAGGACAAGGATACATTTAGCCACATTTTTTAAAATTCATTTGAAACTTTTTGCAAAAATAGTCCACATGATTACTTGAGTTAAACGGACCGTGTGCAGGATTCAGCGGCCTCACCCTCCATCGTCAAGCTGGTGGCCACTACAAACTCTAAATGTCCACTCTGGTCCAACACTGCAAACTGTCGGTGGAAGAGCACGCACTCCCTATAGAAATATGAAGGGACCATTCTAAAATAAGAGAAAATGACACTTTGGGGTGATTATACAGTAGTAAAAACATAATTATGTATATTCCATTGCAACAGTGCCTCCCAAATCCTACACAATGGACCTTCAAATCAGCAGTGGGCATGTGTTTTTTTCTTTTTCCAGAGGAAACTGCTATTGTGACTTAGATGAAGTAAGCAAAGTGCCATGCACTGCACAACCGAATCAATATGTGGTCACAGGTTACAGTAACAGTATGCATTCTTTTTTGATTTTGTGACATCCGCCTGCCTAGAGTGAGCAAATTATTGGTTTGGACCATTTGTGGGCTTCAACAGAACAAACATGAATGAGGTCTGCTCAGGACCGAACTATGTTTGGGATAAATGCTGCATTCGGCTCTAAGACAATGTTACATAAATAATCAATGTGAACGGGGGCGACAGAACAATAAAAATATACAGTAGCTCAATGCACTGATCTCTGCATTTAGCTATTGGATGCAAGCAACTGACCCACAAAACTGTATTTGTATCAAATATTCATACGGCTCATAAGAAAATATGAGCAGAATTAAAGGTTTTAAAAATGAAATATCTACATCGCAGATGGTTTCAGACTTCCTCACCACCCCTGTGCACTTGTTTTTTCAGTTTCATTGCTGTGCTAAAAAAAAATACATCAAAGTAACAGATGGATTTCACTAACTGCTTTACTGCTTCCTATTTTTCTTTTGATTTCATGTTAACATCATTGTCATAAATCTTTTTTTAAACCACAATAAACAAAAAAAAAAAAGAAAAAATGAAACCCCAGCCTATCCACAGACACACCCCTGCCAGACTGTGCTTGGTTAGGTCACAACTACAAAAATCATAGAAGTTAGCCTGTAAGTAGCTCTAACAATGTGACAATGGGCCTCTTTGTTCAGGCATCATTAAGTAACTTGACAAACTTGCAGCAATATTAGGTAAACAATCAAACAAGTCATTCATTTTTAGAGTCAGTGCATAGCCACATGAATTCATTGTTTTGAGACCCCTAATGTCATCTATGTTCTTCCTTCAAAGAGCAAACTCTCCTCACATAAAGTTATGTGAAAAACAAACTTTAAAAAATGAACTCAAGTCTCACTTCTTCCAAAAATTTAAGAAGGTAAGTAGTAGAAAGGTGCTACGTTTGGCCGTAGTGCACTGCATGTTCAACAAAACCCAAACACAGCATATCAGCACAATCACCTCAAACCAACTATCGAGCACGATGGTGGAGGGGTGATGATTTGGGCTTGTTTTGCAGTCACAATGACTCCCAAGCAGCGCAGGTCTACAACAGAACGGCTGAAATAGAAACAAATTAAGGTGTTACGATCGTCCAGTCAAAGTCTAGATTTCAACCTGACTGAAATACTGTGGCAGGAGATTAAGAGAGCTGTGAAAGGACAGGATGAATGCCCGCAGAGGTCAATGAAGTGAAGCTGATAAAGTCAAACAGAAATCTGTTACTTCAAGTTATTGCAGTGAAAGGTGGTTTTACAAGCTATTGAAACATTAAGTGTATTTCGTTTTTCATAGGACTTGATTTGGGTTAATAGCCCTCAGTTGGGGAATAAAAGGCAACAAAGTCCAATAACAGAATGACTATATAGTACCTCGTGACCCCACTGTCTACTCCACATCTGGACTGTTTGAGTCCTTCAATTTTGATAAGGTGTTAATCAACATTATAATCAGCATCAACTCTAATCCACATCCAGTAACAATCTAATGCATCTACTGGGCTATGGTAACACCATCTGGCTTACTTGTGCTGTATTCATCAATGCAAGAGCTCCCCTTATTATGCATCACGTGCAGAAAGACTGACATGCAGAGTGCTGTTAGTTTGAATGAACAGCCGAACTGTCGGTCTTTTTCATTTAATGATGTTTCCTGATTTTGTTCATGAGAACATATACAGCTCAACATTAAATAAAAGGCACGCCACTCACAGTGGAGGATAAGTGCACCAATTTCCTCCCATGAACATCAAATCTATTTCTCCACATGCCTCACCCGTTTCAAGATGCCGAAATTAATTCTGAGTAATACTGAATAGAGAATTATTTTTCTCATTTGCAGTCAGAAATCCTTAATGGCAGAAGACTTCAAATATCCATAAACCTCCTCATCCTCCTGACTCCTTATTCCGAGGCTCTTCTTTACAGCTCTCTTGCATTTTAATGCAGCTCCACTCCAAGTCAGTCAGAATGAAGGAAACGCGCAGAGTCCACAGGCACAGCTGCAGATGTCCGAGTTATCGGTGCAGATCTGACACGGTTTTCTGTATTTATGTTCCAACACTAATCAAGGATTTTCTGCAGTAGTTTGTTTTCTGAAGTGGCGCTTAACCCCGCACAATCAGCACTCGAATCTCTGGCTTGTAACCTGAAACTAAAACTACTGGAGATCTGTATCTTTTAGATCAAAAAGTTATTGTCAAAATCTGCCTCAAGAGAAAGAAAACACGTCATTTTTGGAGAGTGATTGTATTTTTGTTTTGTTTTTTAAATTGCTCTCACTGTTTTTGTGGAGTCAGTAACAAATTTGAAAACTCTGAAATCATCAGGTGACAACAAAAGTGGAAAACTGGATTTGCTGTTTTGTTGCATGATGTAACGCTTCATCCGAGCACAAAATCCAGGAGTTTTTTCGTCCGTGGTAAATACTCACATGGTCTTACAGTCAAGCTTTGTATGTTCATTCAGGTGAAGCCTCCTCAACTGCTTAAGTCTCCCTACTCTGCTCTTAGCTTTGTAGCACAAAATCGCCACTTTAGAATCAGCAGATGAGGTCCCGTGTCCTCGTGCAATTCCCAATCTCATCCCGAGCGAAAGTCTAATCAGCCAGAGCTGGGAGAAATGACACCTGTGCGTTAGGGATAGAGCCCATTTTTATAGATGGGCAATCTGTCAGCAGCTTGTATTTCATCCAATTTACTGACTAATGTGTATTGACTTAAAAGGCACTTTGCACAGGGATTCATTAAGTTAGCCAGCCTGTTAGGCTGATAGTGTCCAATTAAATAAATACAAGGCTTTTCTGATGCTGCGAGTTCATTAAATCTTCTTTTTTTTGTTCTGATGCTACTCCCAGGCTCAGTACTGGAGGTGTTTATAGTACAGATCTTTGCACCTTACATGAAACTGTTGGGTGGTCTTCTCTGGAGTTTTTGAACTATGAGACTCTTATTTGGAAAGAGTCATTTTACATAACTTCTATGCAAAGTGGTTGGTTATATCAAACACCAGCCCAGTGATTGATGATCATGCCAAGTTCCTCAAGTCTGACTGAATGTAAAACACTGCTTTCAGTTTCTATGCTCAATTATCATACACAAGTTAGCTTCTGTCTGAACTTGTTTTACATGAGTCCTTTCTCTAATCTTTATCTTGTATCTTTTATTGTGTTTTTTTTTTTACTGTGTATCTTTAGACCACGCCAAACATCAAATTAAACATCAGCGTAAATGAGGTTTCCTTTGTTTTTTGTTTTTTTCAAGGATTAATAAAATGAAATGAATAAAAAACAGTTTATTTAATCTAAAAAGAATATCTGTGGAAGGACTGTGGCCACACAAATGGATCAGGTGTAATTCTAGAAGACAAGATGTTCAGTGTTACAGCAAAGCTACTGCTGAATGCTGTTGTATTATTATTCTGAATTTGACCCGACACAGTCACCTGAAACCAGACGTGGCCAGTATTTCCTCAGATATCCAATGTGCACTCGCCGACCGCTTCACTGGGTACACATGTTCACCTGCTCCTTCACCAATATCTAATCAGCCAGTCACATGGCAGCAACTCAGTACAAGTAGACACATAGACAGGGTTAAGATGACCCGCTGAAATTCAGCTGAATTTTAGTGACTTTGAATGTGCCATTGTTGGTGGTGTTTCAGAATGTGCTTTGAGCTGACAAGAAGACAACAGAAACTCAAATAAGCAATCGTTACAACCAAGGTACGCGGAAGAGCATCTGTGAGTGCACAATGTGTCAAAACATGAAGCAGATGGGTGCTGCTGTCAGCAAACCAGATGGGACTCAAAACCATAATATTTGAGAAGAAACAGAGGCTACAATTTGCACAAGCTCACCAAAATTGGACAACAGAAGACTGGAAAAATAGTGCAAATAGGTCTCATGGGTATATATATATATATATATATATGTATATATATATGTATATATTCTTTTTGTTTATGCGCTCATCGTATCTAGCACCAAACGGAAACAAGTAGTTTTACTTGGTCCTGTGACTCTGGAGAAAGAAGAGCAGGTCACTTATGTAATTGTAAGGTTGATGTTTTGATCTCTGTCTACTGTTGTCTGTATGTCAAAGTATCCTTGGGCAAGATATTGAACCCTGGGTTGCTCTCAGATGCATCCACTAGTGTCCGAATGTTAGATAGAAAGCACTAGAAAAAGGTACATGAATGAGTCATGTTCTAAAAAGCGCTATGAGTAAAAGAATAGAAAAGGTGTCATATAAGCACTAATCCATTTACCATTTAGAGTTTTTATTACGGATGAACTAATTTATTTGATTCTTGGTCTCAAGAAAGACTAAGAAGTGAAGTAAATTGTGAGTCATGGGTCTTTTT